TGGGGAAGCCTGGCCCAAGAGCTTGTCCCCGTCATTTGCAGAGATGACCAGCCCTTTGGGTCCAGGAAACGTGGCCATGAGGGCAGACTGGGGCCCACTGCTGCCTCTGCCATGGCTCCCCTTTGGTCGGCCAAGGGATTGGATGCGTTTCAAAAGGCGCCATATTGAAAGGCTCCCATCTGCAGGGTCCACGCAGGGAAGGACTGTTAATCCGTCCCCTCCACCCAGTTCCCCTCAGGGTGCCACCAAAGCCCATCGGCTGTTTAACCAGAAGGAAAGAGCAAGACCGACCGGATTGGGAAGGAGGACCAGGAGGCTTGGTTCTTCTCCACCAAGAACCTCAGCTCCAACCGAGGGTTTTGGAGGTCCAGGCCGGAATGCGACGCGAGGTGGGTGACTTTCCTACCATGGGGCAGTGAGCGACTTGCCACAGCCCCGAGGCAGACACCATCATGCCAACATGTAAAACCCCTGAGGACTGGCACGGAGGGGACTTCCTTTTCCGTGGGGCTTGATTACCAGGTGGACTGTAACACCAGAATAAAATTCTTAAATAATTCCAGAAATTTCCGAGACCGCTGCAGGCATTGGGAATGCCACTGAATCAGGGGGGTCCGGAGTTCATGCTTCTCTGTCCCCTGCTGCCGTCCGGGTCGGCAAGTCGGAGAAGCCCTGGGCTGCCCATGCGTCCCTTGGAAACGTGGAGGAGAAGCTAAGTGGGCATGGCCGGCCCCCTGGTATAGGACACGGGTGAGGTACCCACATCCAACCCCAGCCCCTTGGTACTCAGGAGACTTGGAAGCAAAACCGGTGGACACTGGCAGAGGCCACGATTGTGACTTGCAGCCCGTGAGCCCCCAGGTTCTCAGTGGAGGCAGGTCGGCTCCTTTTTGTTTGGATCTCAACGTCTAACCCTCCTTTTTAAGAATCTCTCTAATCCAAAGAGCATGTGGTGAGTTCTACAGTGACAATATGTTCATTTATTCATAGATTCAACAAATATTTATTGAGCCTCCACCATATGCCAGCAACAGTGTTCAGCAAACAGAGGTCCCCACAGATCGACTCTAATGACTAACTAAAATCCAGTGTATCATTAGCAAGCCCACCACTGGGGTGTGAGTGTGTGTGTGTGTGTGTGTGTGTGTGTGTGTGTGTGTGTGTGGCTGGTTCCCTTAAGCAAGCTAGAGAAGGTCTGGGGAAGTCTTATTTACAAAGCTCCCCTATTGAACGAGGCTGTTTGTTTCCTCCTACTTTGAGAATATTCATAGATTCTCGTGTTGGGTCCAAATTCTAATTAAGGACCATGACTGGATTTCAGAAAGTCGAAGCCAGTGTGACAATCAAAGATAACAGGAAACATCTGAACTCAGTTCGGTCCCACTGTACGATACTCTTCCCTCTCTCTCTGACCCATCTCCAGGAAGGGGCTGGAGAAGTTCCTGGTCCCCCACTCCAGAGTGAAGAGCCAGCCTTCTCCAGCGAAAGGCATCTCTGCCCCTTTCCCAAAGTAATGGGGTCCACCCCGCTCCATGGTTCTCAACCCCCAGAATCATCTCTGTATATTTTTTAAAAGAACCATGTCCAAGTCCCAGATGCAGAGACTTGATTCCGTGGGTCTGGAATGTGGTCAAGATTTCAACTCCTTTTCAAAAAACTTTCTGAGTAATTCTCAAGCCTTCAGGGAAGTGATGGTCAGCCACGCCCCTTGGAGCGTGGCGGGATTCCTTAGAAAGGCCAAAGCCGAGTCCATGGGATGATCTCAGGCACTGAGTCGGAGCTGGGTCCCGATCTCAAGTTGGTGCTGATGCTAGGTTGCTCTCATCAGTTATAAAATAGGCACCCAGGGTGCCAGGGGGTGAAGGAGCCCCTGGGTGAGCTCTAAGCTTCAGTGGTGAGCTCTGTAGAAGGGGATCTTTCCTTCCTCGTGGATCGTCCTGTGCTGACCTACACAGAATGGGACTAACTTAATGGTGGGACACGAGGCAGGTGGGCAGGGGAGGCTCTCGGTCATGACCACCCTTGGAGAGCCACCTCCTCACACACGTTCTCACCCTCCATTCTCTTTATGGTCACCCCCAAATGGGAGTGTTTCAGCCTTTCTCCTCCTGTTGTAACATTCTTTAAACTGGATGACTGGTAAACAGCATAAACTTATTTTTCATGATGATGGAGGCTGAGAAGTTCAAAATCAAGGCTCTGGCAGATTCGGTGTCTGGTGAGGGCCTGGCCTCTGCTTCCAAGATGGCGCCTGCGTGTTCCCGTTAGTGGTAAAGAGCACAGCTGGTTCCCCCTGCCCTTCTCTAGGGCACTAATCCCATCCATGGGACACAGCCCCGAGGCATAACTGCTCTGTAAAAGCCCCCACCTCCAAAGACTTGTATTAGGAATGAAGTGTCAACCTGAATTTTGGAACAGATGTTCAAACCATGGAAGAGAGGTTTGTAAGAGCCATGACATAGACGTTTGCCTGAATTGAAATGAGTACTGAGACAGTATTTATGACGAGTCTCACAGGTAGGAACCAGGGCCATCTCAGGCTATCATGTGTCTACCGCCATTTTCTCATGGTATTGTTGACTCGGTGGAAAGAGCAGAAAACCCTTCAAATTTACCCAATAAATAAAAAGGGGAACTATTTATGGGATCTATTTCCCTAAACCCAAGGAAACACCTTGAAACAGGGCCTCAAGGAGGAACAGGGGATCTACCGACGGGGAACCAGGTTCTCTCTGATGCCCCATGGCTGGAGTCGTTCCTGGAGCTGTTGATCCGCATCTTCTTGGTCTTTTTCTGCACGCGGTCTTCTCTGTGAAAGGCAGGCAGCCAGCGTTCCCTGAGCGGACACGCCACACTCCAAGCAGCAAGTGGGAACTGACCCACCCATCTGCAAACCCAGTTTCAAATTCTGGGGGACAGAGAGGATCTGATTGGCTCAGCTTTAGTCAGGTGACCTCCACGGTCCAATCAGTTATGTCCAAGACAGACATCTTGTGATATAAATATGGCTGCCGGAGCTGGTCCAAAGGGAGAGAGAGAGAGGCTGTTCTTAGAGAAAGGAGGTGTGTGCTGGTGAGACACTGGGTGTGTGCCCAAGTCACACGAAGCGGGGTTTTGATAACGGTCTAACAGATGATGTGAACTAGGCGGAGTGGGCACGGGTCTCGTGTATGAAACCAGAAAGTTCCATCTAACTCACCCTCTGTCCAGGCAGGGAGGTGGGGAGTGGGGACTGTCCTGGGGGCCCTGCCTTCCTGCTCACCCCTCACGGCTGCTCTTGGGAGCACTTGGCCCCAAACACACTCCAACCTAATTACCAGCCGGAATTAATCAAAGGTATTCCCAACTGCATGAGCGATGCTAGCTAGGAATGTCTCCAAGTTGAAATTCTTCAAATACTTCTGTTTATGAGGAAGTTTTACATGTTAACTTCTTCCAAAAGCCAGTGAGGGCAGAGTCCCCACAGACATCTGAGAGCACTTTGGCTGTCTTAATTCGCTCATGATGTTTCATTAATATCAATTTTCTCCCTGCATCCCAGCCCGGCAAGTTCTTTTTACAAGTGTTCTCTTCTCTCAAATTTCTGATTTTTTTTTGTTTTGTTTTTTTGCTTTAACTTTCCCCTAGAGTTCTTTTCTCCATTTCCTAAGAAATGCTCCTAAATCTCGCTGCAAATGGAGGACACCACATACTTCAAGGATCATTATTTTTTTGTGTGTGTGCTTTGAAGTTGTTTCACAAGAGGGAGGCTGAGGGTAATGCCAGAGAAATAGGCTTTAATTCTGGTTCCTTATTCCTGCCTTTGGCGCCGAAGGTACACACACTCCATCTTCTCCTCCTCCGTCCGTCCTTCCAGACTCTAGGAGTCAAGTGTCCGCTGACCTGGTCTTCTCAGGAAAGAGGGCAGGATGGGGAGAAGGAGGAACAGAAAGGTCTTCATCCACCACCCACTCACCAGGCTCAGAGGCGGATTGGAGGTCATTTCCATCTGGCCTGCGTCCTGCTCTCTTGCTCTGGAACAGAGGTTGGCTCGTTGGCTCTCGAATCTATAGTCACTTTGCTTCCCTGATACCAGTTCCCAAACTCTTTTGGCCATGGAGTTGTGGGCAGGTCCACTCCATGGAAGGCACTGGCAGGAGACTGGAGGGCGGGAGGAGGAAAGTCAAGGTATTTCTCTTTGCTTGTTTCCAGTGGTCAACTTGGCAATGGCAGCCCTAGCCGTGGATCTAGGACAGGTTGAGCTGGGTTGTACCACATCCTCTTTTCCCTCCAGTCCTAGGAGTGATAGAACCTCCTTCCATAGCCGACCTCAGAGTTGTGTGGTCACCCTTTGCTGGGCCCCCCAGATCTCCCATTACCCGCTTGTTCAATCCCCTCTATTAAATTCTCCGCATTAGACAATTCTTGTTTTCTTAGTGGACCCGAATGATGGATCGACCTATGCAAGATCTGAGACTCGGCCTGCCTATAAAACAGTGTTTCTCAAACTCTCCGATGCCATGGGCCCATCGTAGACTGGCCCCTGGTCCCACTGCACATGCCTGGATCAGCCTGGGTCACCTGCAGTTCACAAGTTCAGCAATAAGGGAGTCGATCCATCCCTGTTCAGTGAGACATCTCTGCAGAGCTGACGTGTGGGGGATGTGAAATTGCCATAAAAGTTGCTGAACGTTTACTCTTGACCTTTGTAGCTGTCTCATTGCCGAGTTCTGATGGAGTGTCATGGGCTGCTGGGCGCACACCAACCCTGCTTTGAATTGGCCTGTTGGGGATATGTTTGGTTCTTTTGTAGGGTCGTCCCTTGGTTTGGGGAATCTGGACTCAGCACAGATCTTATGTCCCTTGAATCATGTGCACTTCCCTGTCAGAAGCTGTCTCTCCCACATGCCATGCTCCCACAATTCCCAATGCAAGAGTCACTCAAAATCAATAGCTGTCCCTTAGCAGGACTGCCCTCCCTTTTAGGCATAAGGTCATTTGATCTTCAAAGAGCCTCAGAATGAGGTGACACTGTTATCCCCATTTTTAATGAATGGGAAAGTAATGCTCAGCTTAGATAACGTGGCCAAATCACACCGCTCCAGAGTGACAGGGCTGGGACTGTCACTCCTCACTCATTGCCCAGGGCCTTGGCTGTGACGCTGAATCCCGGTGTTCACCTTGCTCCTGGCACATTGGAAAAGGCGTCGTCCAAGATCTGAAGGCTCCAGGGAAGCCGGGACTGGTCCACCTTCTTCTCCTACCTGGAACAAGATCCCTCACTTAACAAGTCCCCTCCCACCCACAGCCCTCGCTCCCCCCGCCCCGTCCCCACACCTGTCCCCACCAGCACCCTGCTGGAGAAGCCCTGCTTGGCTCTTCCAGGCCACCCTTCCCCCGCTCCCTAGGTGCCCTCCCGAGTCCACACGGAATACCGTCCTGTGGACCCCAGGCTGCCCTTGGGAGGCCCCTCCAGCATGGAGGCTGCTGGGTGACGGGCCCCGGCACTGCTGATGTTCACTGGGCACTGCTCGGCCCCGGCCTCTCTCTCAGCACTTTCCCCACTCGTTGAATTGTCACCGCAAAGTGAGTGAGGACCTTGTCATCGGGCTCTCCACCCCCGAGGAGACCTAGGAGAGAGGCCCAGCAGCTCCCCTGTCCCCGGTCAGCGCAGGCTGCAGGAGCAAGCCCTAGGTGGCTGGATCAACAGGACTCCGTTTCTCTGGCGTGGCACTTGATGTCATCATGCCCCCGTGTCAGGGGCCAGCGTGTCCGTTCCTGGTGAGGCCCCTCTAGAGGGCTGCAGACCTCCCATGGCAGAGGAGGGCGAGAGAGCTCCCTGGGACCCTTTTGTGGGGGCTGTGATTCCATTTGGTGTGGCCTGAAGGTGGTTTGTCCTCCAAAGCATCATGTGCAGGTGGCTTGTCCTCGGCGTGGCAGTGTTGAGGGCTGAGAACTATAGGAGGTAAGACCCCGTCGGAGGAACCTAGTTCATTCTTAAGAGGGTGAGTTACTTAAAAAATAACTGTTCTCTGGCTTCCTGTCTTGCCACATGACTTCTCCGCCGTTCCATCATACCATCCACCATGATGCCCCATAATGTAACCACCAGAGCCCAGCCATTGCTGTCACTATGCCCTCAAACCCCCCAAACCCCTTTTGTTTAAAAAAAAGACTTCTTTTCTTCATGCACTACTCGCCTTGGGCATTTTGTTATAGCATCAGAGGAAAATGGATTAATACATCATTCAGGAGGGCTCGATCTTCACCACCTAATCACCTACCAAACACCATCACAACGGAGGCTAAGATTTTAACATATGCAATTTGAGGAGACACACAGGCTCAGTCCATTACACCCAGGCTCAACAAGGAAGAGCTGGACGAGGAGTTCAGCCCTGGGCTTGTTGGCCTCCGGGCCCTGTGCTCTCAGCCTCTGTACTGTAGTGAGATCTTGAATTCTCAAAATCCTTCCACGCGTTATCTGCGTAGCTTCTCATGGTGCCCTAGGAACAAAGGAAGTGGAATCACTGAGCACTTTACAGCTGGGCAGACTCTTGGAGAACTTTTCATGTCCCCATTATGCAGGTGAGGAGACAGAGGCCTGGGGTGAAATGACTCTCTCAGGGCCACACAGCAAGCCCACAGAAGCAACAGTGTGGTTGTGACTCCCAGCATAGGGCCCCCGTCTGCACCAGAGGCCACCAGCAGGCAGGTACATACCCATTTGACTAGTGACCTCAGCAGCATGCAGTGGCTTCTGGGACAGCAAACCAGCCAACACTGACATTGACAAGATGACAGGCCATGAAGGCTGAACATGGTGAAGATGAAAGTTCTCAAGGAAGGAAAAGCCGTTAAGTGAGCTGCTTCCGGGGAGTCCAAAGACCTGGGCTCGGAACCCAATTCCGCTGCATGAACTTTACAGCAAGTTCCTCAATTGCTCTGAACCTCAGTAGTGGTTTCAACTGCAAAATGCTCTAGGTTTGGGAGTAGCTAACGTGCATTCAAGATGTGACTTTGGATGCCTCACCCAGAACTGACTTTAGAAAGAGGCAGATCCCGGTGTTCTCCCGTTTACAGTGGGCTTGGGGAAGCTTTGTAAGTTGCCCAAGTTCAAGCATTGACCAGAGGCAGAGTCAGATTTTATTCCCAGATCCAACCATCATTGTAGCCGCACCATTTAACCAGTGCAAAATTTGCAACACGTGAGAAGTCCTCAGCATAGGACCTGGCCCGGGTATTGTTGAGTCTCTTCTCCTCTCCAGACCTGAGTCTTCCCCACTATAAAAATGAGTCGGTCAAACTAGAGCAAGGACCACACACTCAGATTCCCACACCCACCAGGCAAGCAGAGCCCCCTTCTGGAAACATGGTAGAATTACACTTCCTGGCCCCTGGCTGAGGCCCTGTGACCAGTTGTGGCCAGTGAAGTTGTGAGTAGTCAAAAGCCCATTCTGTTCCGGGGCCATTAATTACTGGTAGGAAGCTCTCAGAACTCGTGTACCTGCTCCCACGATCACAGCTCCTCTGACAGTCGGGGCTCCGGAGAGAGGAGGCGTGGGCAGGCTCCTGGCCAAACTGCAGCAGACTTCGGGTTTTTCAAGGGAAATTGAAAACATAGGTGTTTATATAAAATCCTCCAAGCTGCACAAGTTGATAAATAACAAAGAGAACTTCCCACTGAGCAGGTCAGACACAACGTACCCGTTGACTGTGAAAGACCCGCCCCCTGCTCCCCGCCCCCACTACCGGAATCACTGACATTGAAAAGTCTACCAGAGCCCATCCACTGTGACTTTCATGTCACTCTGGCTATGAGCTCTCTGAATGCTAGGACATTGGTCATCATTGTCCCCCCCACCCATATCTCGTCCTGCATCAGCCACATGATAAGGGGTCAATTAATATGTGAAGAATGAATGACCTGTGTCCTGGAATGGGGCCCTGCAAGTGTCCTGCTGTCATAGATCCAGGGCTCCAGTCGGAGCTGAACTTGACCTTGGAGGTGATGTCATCATATGGGAGCCAGGCGGGACCATTTGCTCTGGAAGGGAGCCTTTGGAAGGGTGTGGCCCTGTCCCACTTATACAGATGGGGACTGAGTAGATGGCCCTCCGGCCTGGAGGGGCTGTGGCCCCAAGTGCTGGGACCAGCCCCACAGCTTCCAATCTCTCCCTGTGGAGCTCGTGGAGCCCATAGGATCCACACACCTCTCAGCCACCTCTGTGGGACCCCTGCTGTCCCCTGCTCCACTGGGTTCCCGTCTCACTCCCTATAGGTTGCATTGACCTTTTAATGACACTGTTACTTCGCACAGTAACTATTTAACTACTTTTCATCTAGAAGTTAGGAACCCCCATTCCAGATGGTGTGAGCTACGTAGCCATCCTACAGGTGAGAGCAGCACACAGAAGAGTCCCCCAGCAGAAGGGAAAGGCACAGGTCCCTTTAATGTGGGTACAGATCTCCCCTGAACCACCGTGGTCTTTGTCTGTTTGTCTGTTTGCCAAAACAAAATACCTGAGGCTGGGTTAACTTGCAAATAATAGGGGTCCTTTGAGCTCACAGTTCACCGGCGTGTGGGAAGGGCCATGTTTTGTGTCACAACATGGCAGGAGGTGTCAAATGGCAGCAGAGCAAGCATGCCGGCGAGAGGGGTCACTCTTCATCAGCGAGCTCCTCTTTCCACAGCCCCTGGCCCATTAATCCATGAGTGGACTGACCCGTTCAGGGGGCAGGGCCCTCGAGGCCCAAGAACATCTAGATGCAAGAATCTGACTGGCGCTGCCCGTCTTCTCCAGCTGGTCCATGGCCAATGTCCTGAGGCTGAGGGGAGGGGCTTCTGATTTCAGCAAGTTGCCTGGGAGAGAAGCGGGTCCCCAAGGAAGGGCCATTAGTGACCGCAGTGGAGCTTACCCTGTGCCTGCGGGTGCCCTCCCAACAGAGAGCAAGCGCCCACCAGATGTCACAGCGAGGTACGTGAAGTCCACGCCCTTGGCCCCTCCTGTGGATGGGAGTCCCAGCTGTGAGGTTGAGCGGCTCTCCCAGGGTCACGGAGCTGGCATGGACCGAGGTGTGTCCATGAGCCTGGACGGGGCCTCACGGCTCCTTCTGCTCCCGGGACCCCCCCTCCCGACTGTGTGTCTCAGGGGAGCTGCGCTGACCCTCCTGGGGGGCCCGGCCAGGGGAATCAGGCTGAGCCGGGGGACAGGTCCCTCTGGGACAGATGCGGTCAGCAGGGATGGCCCTGGGAAGGACGTGGCAGCCCCGCGGGGCACAGCCCCTGCAGCTCCAGGAGAGAGAGGAGCTCGTGTTCAGGGATGTCACGTGGTCTGACCAGGGTGTGGGTCCAGGCGGGTGGCTCAGGAGTGGGGCAGCGAGGGCCCTGTGGAGGAGCAACGTGACTTGACTTCCACCCCAGGGTGTCACTAAGAGGGGAACGGGGACCCCGCCTCTTCTTGGATCTCTGTCCCTGGCTGCCATGACAGGAGCAGGCCCCCTCTGCCACGTGCCCCCCCAGGAGGTCTGTGCCACCACAGGCCCAAATCAACAGAGCCACGTGGACATGGACCGGGGACTTCCAGGCCCTGAGTCCCCTCATCGCGGGCTGGTTGACCTTGGGTGACTTTCCCCAGTGACAGGAAGCCTACTAATGCTTCAGTATCCAGCTGTCCCATAAGACACACCCCACACACACACACACAGAGGTCCCCTAAGACACCCCCC